GTGTGTATGCACACGCGCGCACATGTGAGTGCACCCAAGATCCCGAGAGGAGAATGGAGGAGAAGGGATTGCGGCGTGACCATCCCCCCTGGGGAGTGATTTCTCGCTTTCTGTCTCTATGTCTCTCTCTGTCTGTCTGGCGAGCGCACGCGCCCTACAGTGAAAATCTCTCCCCCCCAAAAAAAAATTATTTTCCTGTGCTTATTTTCCATCAGGGCCTAAATAAGGACCTAGTTATATGATATATTCCACATCATCGAAATAAAATTCCAACTGGACAGACTGATTTTATCTTATCGGTATTTTTATTCTTGAGTATAGTATTATTCTTCAGTGAAAGCATCCCTGTTTGTTTTTTGGTAAGTCATCTTTGTTTTACAACCCGCTATGATAAACAAAACTGGCTTGAATAAATGGAAACTTCTTCAATTATGTAGGATTTTCATTATTTTTGGATGGGAGAATGGGATGTTTCATAAAAGTTTCATAAAAACAATAAATACAAAGACTTTAAAAAGAGGGCAAGTGTTTCTTTACCACCTAACTTTTTTTTCCACTTAATGCTTCATTATTTTTAAAAATTTTTTGTTTTTATTTAATTAATGTATATTAATTTACTGAACGTTGTCACATCTTACAAAATGTGATTTCCCATCCAGAATATTCTGCATAGTGGCTTAATCATACATGTTATCATCAATAATTTTCCATTTCTAGTTTCATATATATATATGTACATATATCTGTATATTTACATATTTTCATATATGTATGTATATATATATTTTTTTTCCTCCTATTTCTCACCCTATGCCATTTCCCACCCTCCTCCCACATTATCTCAGGTAGTCACAGTTGTTTTCCATTCCTCTTTTTCCCATATTTTATTGATTCACAAAATTTCTTAAATAATTTAACTATTTTCCATAGCAAGCTCTGCTGATATATACATATCCATGAATACATGTCTGACTTTAGGCATGAAATTCTGAGTAGAATGAATGTACTATAAGGTAGCACCTAGCTGATACTACATAGTTTACTACAGTCATTAATTATGTATTTTACTGTATTTTTTTAATTTCAAGAAAATCAGACTTAACTTTAATAAATCAAAGAAATGCTAAGGAAATATGCTTAAAACTTAAAGCCAGGAAACAGACTGGGAGATTCTATTCAAATAGTAGGTACATGAACCTATCAGCAGCTCAAGACAAGACAAAAATCCTTAAAACTGGAGAATGAAGCCTAGAAGAAAATCAGCAATATTTTAGTCAAAAGTCATAAAATTCTATTTCACCAGTTCAGTCTTATGTACTTAATCTATCTTCTGCTGTGGTTCAATTTTCCCAATTAAATTCTGGGATATAATATTCAACTCCAGACTTGTCTCCACAATTAAGTTGGCCATTTTCTTAGTTTTTGAACTCTT